AAGAATGATATCCTAGAATTAACCATGTGTGATGGATAATTGGAGACCGGACGGAAAAAGTTGGAGGCAACCAGACAGGGTTCTGGGGTGCTGTTAGTTTTCCATCTGTGTTGATTAAGGACCGATCGTTGCTCATCCCTCTTATCATGTTGAACGCATGCCTCATATTTAGCTGGCCGAATAAAGTACCTTTCGACCACGAAGCTAGTGACACTTTTCGAGCCGGGATAAACTCGGATTGGTAGACTGGTGCTGAAGGGGGTATGACGGGGACACGAAGAGTGAGCCCAAGGTGCGTCCTGGTTGTCGGGCGGTCCCTGGGTAGTGCGGTCCATGACTGTTATCCCGCGGCTACTTGGAAAGTGTCATTGGTGATCTGTAGCTCACTTGATCGGTGAGTGTGGTTTGTGTGAGGAATAAATCACCAGCTGGTTAGGAATCGATTCGAATCGCCATCACTCTTGGATAGTGAGCACTTGACTCGAGCTACAGCATCGTAGTAATTATGATAGAACACTAATGGTTATCTGGATGGTATGGGATATGCTAAATCTAAGTTGGTAACTGGATGTTATTGGTTAATCAAGTCGGAGATCAACTCTACAGAAGAGGCGCGTCCTCAGGAGTACTCATGAAGTGTGTTACTCGCGAGGACGGGAAGGACATCTTGGAGGAAATACACAAAGGGATATGTGGAAACCATGCATCATCACGAACAATAGTAGGCAAGGCTTTCAGGACAGGCTTCTACTGGCCAACAGCGCTGGCGGACGTGGAGGAACTCATCCACAGATGTCAAGGTTGTTAGTTTTTCACCAAGCAGCAACACGTCCCTGCCTACAAACTCATTACAATACCTCCAACATGGCCCTTTGCATGCTAGGGGCTTGACATGATTGGCCCACTCCCAACAGCTCCAGGAGGATTCAACTGAGTACTCGTAGCCATCGACAAGTTCACCAAGTGGATCGAAGTCAAACCCGTCACTTGTCCCAAGGCTGATCGAGTTCTCGACTTCTTGCACGAGATCGTACATCGCTATGGATTCCCAAACAGAATCATCACAGACCTGGGCTGAAATTTCAACAATCACGAGTTTTGGGAGTACTGCGAGAACATCGGGATCGACGTTCGCTGCCTCCATTGCCCACCCACGAGCCAATGGCCAGGTGGAGCGTGCCAACAGCATGTTACTCGAAGCTTTCAAGAAAAGGTTGCATGACATTGGCAACACCAAAGGAGGCAAGTGGCTCAAAGAACTACCCAACGTTCTCTGGGGGCTACGTACTCAGCCGTGCAAGCCAACAGGGCAGTCGCCCTACTTTCTCGTCTACCGGTCAGAAGCCATACTCCCTGCTAACGTCATGTGGAAATCCCCTGTAGTTGAGCGATATGAAGAAGGGGCAGCAGAGGAGACAAGGCGACTTGACCTGGACAGCTTGGAAGAATCGCACTGCGCAGCACTCGTACAATTCGCAAGATATCTTGAAGGACTACGCCGTTACCACAACCGCAACATCAAAGAACGCTCTTTCAATATTGGCGACATGGTCCTCAAGCGCATTCAGGACACAACGGGGCTACACAAACTCAACTCGCCATGGGAAGGGCCTTACATTATATCCAAAGTCACAGGACCAGGATCATATAGGCTACAAGAACTCTCTGGTGAAGAAGTCACAAACTCATGGAACATAGAACACCTATGTCTCTACTATCCTTAGTCAATAGACTACAAGGCATTGTACTCGGGCCAACGGCCTCAACATTTTTTCTCTGATCAATAAATTTTCTTTTCCGACAACTACAGACTAACTGTCTCTGCCTACTCCTAGCGGCTTGCAAAGGCAAGTCATCTACAACCTAAGCTCTTCAGCTCTACGAGCCTTTGTGCTCTGCTTTCGACTTGTAGTCACAAGTCTAGCGACTTGCAAAGGCAAGTCAGCTGCAACCCGAGCTCTTCAGCTCTATGAGCCTTTGTGCTTTGCTTTCGACTTGTAGTCACAAGTCTAGCGACATGCAAAGGCAAGCCAGCTACAACCCGAGCTCTCTAGCTCTACTAGCCTTTGTGCTCTGTTTTCGACTTGTAGTCACAAGTCTAGCGGCTTGCAAAGGCAAGTCAGCTGCACCTCGAGCACTTCAGCTCTATGAGCCTTTGCGCCTCGTTACGACTTGTAGTCATAGGTCATGGCTACCCAGTTAGTCACACTGTCATCAAATGCTGAAGTCTACAATGACGAACAACCACAGAGTACTCAAAAATACTCACTTTATTAAATACTTGCATTTTTCGTATTAACGAAACTCTGTAGGATTACAACAACTCGCTCTACTGTTGCAAGTTGGGTCGCTACGAGTACAGACGAAATACTCAACAACGACTACAAGCAACTACCAAGCGACAGTTACAACAGAAGTCCCAGGCTTTCACCATATCACAAGGATACACTTGAGCCTGGTGACTACTCCCAGATCAAGAGCAAGATGCATCGTAGGGCGGGAAGCGCACGCAAGAAAGCTGCGCTCTAGGAAGCTATGCCCTTCCCCTCCCCTCGGCACTAAAGCAGATGGTGGCTGGGGCTCCACGAACTCCAGCTTCACCGACCCACATTAGCACCTTCCTCTTCCGACAAGTACTCGAAACTGGACTTCAAGTACTTGGGTCTTGTCCCGAGACGTTGCGGAGGGAGTGAGCAGTCGGAACCACGCCTCCATCCTCGACCAGAGAGCTAGATAAAGACCGTGAAGCTCATCATCCTTCACTCGTGAGCTCCAGCATGGTTACTACCAGAGAGCAAGGGAAAAGCCAGAGCACACGACGAGTCCTCCTGCGAGGATTCTTCTAGCATCGCAGCCATCTTTTCTAGTGTGAAGATCTATGGAGGGAATGTGGCTCTACATTACGAGGAATCTTGTAGCACCGGGGCGCTCATTGAAATCTCGCTACTATCAAAGAGGAGTAACCTAAAGCCAACCATCGCTATAACTGAAGCCATGACTTAGCAGCATCAACCGGGGGCTCTATTTATAGCCAGGAGTAAAGATGTGCATGCAGCCCGTGGGCCAAAGGCCGACCCAAAGCCTGCAGTTATTGGGCCCGACAAAACCGCAACACAGAACCCTAACAGAACCGTCTTAAAACCAAGCGGGCTTACTCGATGAGCTTCTTCTTGCAGATCGTCGGCTCACGCAGCCACTTTTTACAACAATGCCCGTGGAGGCCCGTTTTAATTTATTGAGGTCGTACTATTTTTTCTTTCTAGGGTTTTATCTCACGAGGTGTGAGTTTTACCTAGAATGGTTTTTAATGAGGCTACTATCATTGCATAAAAACTCAAATCTTTTGTCATCCGGTGTTTACGTGATTGTTAAATATGAATATGTGAACTATAATTATCTTTGTTAAATATGGTATTTACCGTAGCAGCATCAATGGACCATGGGGGCTCAACAGTTAACCGCGACCGATATTTATAGGGCCGTCCAGGAGGGTCTGGCGGGCCAAACAAGGGCGCGCCTAGTGACTACACAGTACCAGACTTGTCTCATCTTTAGCCAGGAGGACTGTGTTCCCGTGACTACACAGTACCAGACTTGTCCTCCACAAGGACAGTGTTCGCGTGGGAGCTCGCTGCGCGGAACAAAGGCTCGCACGTGAACCGCTCAGACCATAAGCGACAAATATTCTACAGTACACCCGTGTGTCCTGTCCAGGACAAAACCAATAATGCACAGGGAGCTGAGTACCCTAGCGGACACCAGCAATGATTGAGCAAGACACAACACTCTCGTTCTTCGCAACAGAGTTCAGGGCCTGTTTAGTTTTTAAAAAATTTTACGTATTCGATATACTACAGCATATTCGAGCGACTACTCTTAGTATCTAAACGCGCCCTCAATGTATTCGACTACAGCATAAGCGACTACTCTTAGCGAAGCAATCACGAGTAGTCACGTGGTACTACTCGTCAACACATCTAGAATCACAGTCAAATACTCAAGGCATATAAAGATAATCACCACTTACAACCAAACAAAGATAATTGTTTTGGATACATCGAGCCGCCTGACAAAGGCACAAGTTCGTACAGAAGACTACGGTTCCTCTAGGGCAATAAAATCAGCCATCTGTTCAGCGATGGGCTCTACCTCATCAAGATATTGCGAGTACGCATCATCACTGCAATTCTTGGCAATGCCACCCGCAGCCGCAGCCAAATCCGCCCTCGAGTAGTATGACTTCACAACCGCCAGCATTTGTCTGCAGACGGTCTTGGCTAGGTTGGCGACTTTGGCTGGCGCACCCCTCAGCCTCTCGACTCAGGGACGAGCCTCGGCTCCTTCGGGCGGGTTGACTACGTCAGCTACCGCCTGCGTCGCCATGGTCAACTCCTTGAGCTATTCAACCCAGTTCCGGACGGCGAGCATAGACTCGGCCAGCATAACTATGAAGTTTCGCCGTTGATCTTTCGCCTTGTCGCGCTCAGCCTCAACTACCGCCAGCTAGGCCCTAAGTTGCTCCACCTCGTCAACAGCACAACTATGGGCGTTCCTCCAGTCGAGCGCTTCACGGCTCAGTTTGGCTTCTTGGCCCTTGAGCTCTATAACGAATAAACAGCACAGTGGTCAAATAACGCCTACGACTACATTGATGTACTCAAACTACAAAGAGCACGAGTACTTACCTTCAAATCTCCGGTGCAGCGACTTATAGCGGGCTTCCATACGGCTCTTGTCAGCTTGATGCACCAGCCTTTCAATCTGGAAGGACTCCACGACCTGCTCATGCGTCTTTAGGTATTCGGCAGTGTGGCGCCGCTCGTCAACAAGGTCCCTTTCAAACTGCGCTACACGACAAGCAGCCTCGCTCTGCTCCTGAAGAATCTGGGTATTCTTCGGGCTCTATCATATAAGTTCTGCAGGAACCAAGCAATGAATACTGTCAAAAGCGCTAGGATTACAAAAGTAAAAGTACTCAAAAGTCAGCACTACAAGCATACCTAGACACCAGCAATTAAACCCTGAATCTTGGACTCTGGTAGCAATTCAACTAGGGGGCTCTCAAAGACTTCAACCTTCTGAGACCCCAAAGCCTCACTTGCACCAGACTTCAGCAATGGGGCAAGAACAAGCTCTTGGGTGAACGAGGCCCCAGCCTCAAAAGCGTCCTTGCGCGCCGCCTTCTCGGGTACAATACCCTCTCCCTCGGACGGCGTCATACTCCCCGCAACAATCATGGCTCCCTCGTCAGTACTCGGTGCAGCTGAAGTCGTCACAGCTTCAGCTGCGGGAGGAGGGTTGGCATCAGAAGTCTCAGGGGCTGGCAGCACAGGGTTCTCCAATGACTCAATCACGTCCCGCAATATCGCAGCAGTGATACTCATGGGACATGTACTCTCGATCTGTGGTGGATCTTCAACCGTCAAATCCACTACGCGCGTAGCCGCAGGGACTGTCGCTGACGGATCCTGGATCGGCTCCGTAAAGCTCTAGTTTGATTTTATTTTTGGTGAATTAATGAAACCCTAAGTGCTAACCTAGTTTATCAAGTGATCATAAGATAGGTAGCACACTTCAAGTGGTGAAGCAAATGAAGATCATAGCATGATAAAGATGATGGCATGGTGATGATTAAGTGCTTCGACTTGAAAAGAAGAAAGAGAAAAACAAAGCTCAAGGCAAAGGTATAATTTGTAAGAGCTATTTTGTTTTAGTGATCAAGACACTTAGAGAATGTGATCACATTTAGGATTGATAGCCATACTATTAAGAGGGGTGAAACTCATATCGAAATGCGGTTATCAAAGTGCCACTAGATGCTCTAACTCATTGCATATGCATTTAGGATCTAGTGAAGTGCTAACACCCTTGAAAATGTTTGTGAAAATATACTAACACTTGTGCACAAGGTGATACACTTGGTGGTGTTGGCACATTTACAAAGGAGGTGGTGTTTGCAGGGTGTTGGCACATTTCCATTCGGCGCTTTCGGGAAAATGGAATGCCTATTTTCTATGGCGTCGAATGCAAACTATTGTGGTTGGCACGTTGAAGCAAGGGTGAAGAAGAAAGAGGAGATGCCGGCGTCGGTCAAGTGACTGGATGCTGGATCTGATTGCACCGGACGCCGATCGTCTGCTGCGTCTGGTCATACCGACTTCGGCGATACGATGGCTAGGGTATACCACCGGACGACGTGGTGAGTCCGGTCGAGGTGGATCGAGACGCGTCCGGTCAAGAAAATGGATTTGGACCCTTATCGTACTTCGGCGGGACGGACACTGTGGCTCCAGTGATCTGGTCGGTTTGATCGGAGCGTCCGGTCAATACTTAGCCGTTAAGATCGACGGTTCGATTTTAACTCGGAATGACACGTGGCAAAAATCGGTGGACCGGACGACATGTCCGTGGTCCGGTCCGATGTCAGAAGGTCCGGTCGAGCGCGCTTTTGCCCAAAGGGTATATAACGGCTCTATTTGACTCGGGCTCTATTTAAGCCCCATGGCTGGTTGTGGCTCACATCTTTGGCCATTTTCATTGACATAGCAACCTTGTGAGCCTAGCCAAAGTTCTCCCACTCATCTACATCCTTGATTCATCATCATAGTGAGATTGAGGAGTAAATCCAAGTGCATTGCTTGAGTGATTGCATCTAGAGGCACTTGGTGATTGTGTTTCATTTGTGAATTTTGCTTGTTACTCTTGGTGGTTGCCGCCACCTAGGCGGCTTGGAGCAAACAAGAATCGTTGAGTGGAGGAGGTGATTGTCTCCGACTCTCGATCGTGGTGATTGTGAGGGGTTCTTGACCTTTCTCGAGAGCGCCAAAAGATACTCTATTAAATTGCTTGTGGCTTGTGTGATCCTCATCTTGTGTTGGTTGTGCGGCACCCTATTGAGGGTTTGGCGAGTGATGCCAATCAATAGCGTGAACCTCCAAGTGAGTGAATCACCACAACGAGGACTAGCTTGCTTGAGCAAGCAAATGAACCTCGATAAAAATCATTGTGTTCATCATTTGATTCCGAGGTGATTGGTCTACACTGGTATTCATTATTGTGATTGATTCCTACCACTACACGGCGGTATAACTCTCTTGCTCACTCTTACATTACCGTAAACTAATTATCAAGCTCTTTAGTGTAGCTAGTTGTGAGAGCTTGTTTGTTTGATTAATGTTGCTCTTTAGTTAGTCTTTGAGAGCACACTAATTTAGCTAAGTGTCATAGCTATTGTGTGGACATACACTATTCAAAATAGAATTGTGGTAGGTGGCTTGCATTTTAGTAGGCTAGCGCAACACTCGCTTCGCCGCAAAATTGTCTAACACATTTTGTTAAGTGTTGTTGTAGAATTTTTATTAGGCTATTCACCCCCTCTAGCCCCCTCTAGCCATTAGGACCTTTCACCGTTGCATCAGGAATGATATTTTCAAAATCCCTGGTTCAAACAAAACAAAAGATTATCAATCGACTATTGACTATGATGCTCCAAGATCAAGCACAAAAGCACACCGGGCCGTCTAGGGAGGCACTCATCGATGCTTCTTCACTGTGGGCACCGGTTGTGCGATTGAGACCAGCTCAGCGGGTGCCACAGGTGGCAGATCTTCCATGTTTTCGCCAAGACCTGAAAGAACCAGTGCTAAGACTACATACACGCAACTACCAGCAACATTCACGTACTCACCGCCAGCGGGGACTTCAGCCATCGTGGCGTCGATGACTGCCTCTGGCGTCTTCACAGCATCCGCCATATCAGTACTCGATGGATCCTCCACTCCGCCACCTGCAACACCAGCCTCGACGACTACTTGAGCAGTAGTCGGCTCAGGGGCTGGGGGTGCATCTTCCATGGGCGTCTCCACCGTGGTGCTCACACTCGCAGCTACGTCTCTGGCAATTTCGACTACTTCAGTAGAAGTAGCCTCATCAGTACCAAACGAAAAATCCACGGCCTTATCAACACTATCATCAATGTCATCGACAACCTGCAAAGGACACAACTAGTTTAAATCAACTCAACTACTCAACGCTACACCACCAGTCTCCATACCTTGGTATTTCATCCCTTCGCGAAAGTAATCACCGACAGGGTCACCTTATGCTGGATGGCCGACTGCTTCCATACCGCAGTCTGTTGCCTCTTCTTCGAGAGGAGCCTGGGGCTCGTCTTCACCATCACCCCCAGCTTGCTCTTCGACATCGCCGGGCGCTGTCCACTATCCCTTCAACACTCGGGACTGCATATCACAATCAACAGTCACCTCGGAATCAGTCGATGCAACATCAGAGTCACCGAGTGGCTCCGAGTCATCATCATTCTCCTCTTAGACTAATTCCTCCTCCTCTAGGGGATCAAGGAGCGATTGCGAAAGGAATGTAGTCCTCGCGTTCTTTCCCTCGTCAACACTAGGGGGAGGACAAGAAAAGTACAACAAGATATCTTCCTACGAAAGGAATTACTAGTCGTCAAAAGTAACGACTACTATTTATGAGTACGAAAAGGAGAAATAAGCAAGCAAGTTACCTCTCTGGGTTTATGCCAGCTGTCGAACTCTCGGATGGATTCATCGACTATTGGTACTCTTGAAAGTTCTTGAAGAAATTGACCAACAGTGCCTCCACCGCGTCATCAGATATTTCTTCGGGAACATATGCGATGGATCCTCGAACCCTGCGTACTCATAGCCCCAGTTCTAGCACTGCGGCGGCGGATGTACTAGTAGCTTCAAGAAGCTGGCAGCCACGTTGATGCCAGTCAATCCTCCTCTTTTTAACTCGGCGATCTTCGCCAACAAGTCGAGTACTTCACGGTTGTCTTCAGCCGACTCCTCGATCCACTTATTCGAGTACTTGGGAATGTGCCCTGTGACTACTGGCATTGGGGGTTGTGGTTCCTGATATAGAACCATTTCTCTTTCCAAGCACCATGGGAGTCAGAAAGCTCATAATCCAAGTACACATCAGAGTTCCTCAACTGAAAGCTAGCTCCTCCGAGTACTTCCATCCTAGCTACACTCGGTTGAGGCTAGCAGCGAAATAGTTTCCGAAATAACTCGAAGTGGGGTTGGATCCCCAAGTACACCTCACACAGATGAACAAAAATGGCGATGTGCAAAACTCCATTTGGATTCAAATGAACAAGCTGGAGGTCGTAGAATTGCAGAATACCTCTGAAGAAGTCTGAGGTGGGGACGGCGAGGCCTCTCTCAACAAAGTGCACCCAAATCACTGTTTCCTTCGGAAAGGTCTCGAATTGCCAAGCGTTGGCGTACACAGACCTCCATGACACCACCTGCTTTGACTGCAGCAACTTCACCGCCACCAATTCTTGGATCGCCGACTCCTTCATTGTTGACATCTTCCACACGCCCCCCGGCATGGCAGCAGCGGTTTGATCAGTGGGACCACACTTGGGCGAAGGAAGTTGTACCTCTTTGCCTTTCTTGGACCCCCTCTTGGACACCTCCACGGATTTCTCCAGAGCCTTGTTAGATTTCTTCCCCATCTTCTTCACACGCATTCACTTGGGATTGCGCAACGGAGGAGGGGAGGAGGCGACAACTACTTGCAAAGCTCACTAAAGCAAGAGAAGGGCAGCAATGGTGGCGGCGACAGGGATGGCGGCACTAGGGTTACGAGATGGGCTCTAGCAGATGCGAATGAATGCGTACCTCAGGAAGGCGCCAGGCCTTATCCTTTATAACAGTGCAACGGATAAAAACGGCTCCGAGATTTTGGGGATATGCCAGGTAATTAAGCAACGGTTCGTTAACTCCAGGATTTATCGTGAGATTTTAAGTCCAACGGTCACATTGACCACGATTGACCCCTTCATCGCCTGGAGGTAGTCGATCAAGTGCTCGGGAGCTGCGTACACCTCGCCCGTTGGACAAAATTTTCTTTTTCTCCAAGGATTAAGAGAAGTCGAAGTAAAATTATAGTTTGACCCTCAGCCTGATTCTTCGATTCAACCTAAGGTTCGGGGCTACTCCATATGGAGTGCGATTATCATCGCACTACCATATAAAGATTCAAGACAAAGACTACTCGAAGCAACATCAAATGATGCTAAGAGTACCTTCCATCCATGTGACAATGCTCGGGTACTCAAAGACTAGCCGCGACAGAATGTATTCAACGAGCACCAAGAACTAGTCGAGCAACGTCATGAGAGTACTAGGAACTGTTCCACTCGACTACAAAGTACTCGGGGGCTTGTCGGCCATACATCCCTGGGCCCGCTGAAGACTTGTATGGACCCACTCAAGGAGACGTACTCGTAACCTACCAGGACATGGAGACTACGCTACAGGGCAACATAGACTACATGGACTTCAGAAGGACTAGTCGGAATACTAGGAAACTACTCTGCTGAGTTAGAGTAGGACTCTATAAACGTGTCCGACTAGTACTCTTGTACTCCAAACTACCATGTAACCCTGCTCCCCCAGATATATAAGGGCAGGCAGGGACCCCCTCCAAACAAGTTCAATCCAATACAAGCATACAACACACAGGACGTAGGGTATTACGCTATCTAGCGGCCCGAACCTGTCTAAATCGTGTTCCTACATCACCATCGACTCCTTGATTTCAATGACGCCCACCAACCAAAAGACTATCTCGGGTACTCCCTTGATAGGTTGCCGGGTTAAAACACCGACACTTACCTTGCTCCCCTTGTAGTGTCCAAGCCGGTCCACATGCCTAGGATGTCTCCCATCCTTATATTTGATCTTAGGCTCAGGCTTGGTTTTGCCTTCATACCCTTGTGTCACTAGCATGTTCAATCTCTTTATTTGAGCATCTCTAGCTTTGATTCATTCCTCTAGCTTAGCAATGTTAGCGACACAAGCATTCACATCAATTTTATAACATCTTGAGAAACCTTCACTAGTGGAGGCCTTAGAGTCAAGATTTGCCTTGGAATTGGCCTTGGACCTTTCCCAAAGAGCACTATAGTTAACTTCAAGTTCTTTGTGTTTGACCGTCAAGAATGAGAAGCTTTCTTGAAGTTCACTATGAGTGACCTTTAGAAAAGCTAGAGATTCATTTGCCAAAGTAAGCTCCTTTGACATCCTCTCATGTGAATCATTAGCTAGAGACAAGTCAATAGCTAATTTTTCACACTTAGCCTTTTCTTCGGCTAGAGCCTTCTCTAAGGTAAGGTTTCTCTCCTTTTCAAGGATGAGCAAGTCTTCTTGCCTATTGAGAGACTCCTTTTTCTCTAATTTCTCCAAAAGCTTTTTAATTTCTTTATAGCCTTTCTTACCAAATTCTTTTATCATGTTTGCTTTAAGTTTTTTTCCTCATCATCTAATTCATTTTGAGCGTTGCTAGATATAGAGGAGATGGATGGATGAGGAGGATGTGGTGTTTGGTACCTTAGTCCCCTTTGCCATGAGGCAAAAAGGAGTGTCATCTTCATTGTCAGAGGTGTTGTTGAAGAGCCTAGTTGGTGTAGCGGGCTTGAGTATGGCTAGAGTTGCCATACACTCATTGTTGTCTTCTTCATCACTAGAATCCCACTCTTGACCAACATGAGCTTGACCTTGGTATTTCTTCTTATAGTCCTTGCTCTTGTCCTTGAACCTCTTCTCCATTTCCTTCTTTTTCTTGTGAGGGCAATCGACAATGAAGTGACCAACTTCCTTGCACTCATAGCATCTTCTTTGTGAAGTCTTCTTCCTATCATCACCATTCTTCTTAAACGCCTTCTTCTTCAAGAATTTCTCGTAGTTTTTTTATATCAAAGGCGATCTCCTCATCGGTGCTCCCTTCTTCACTTGAGTCTTCCTTCTTTGACTTGAGAGCTTTGGGGCTTGACTCAATCATTGTGCTAGAGCTAGCATTGAGGGCCAAACTCTTGTTCATCCTCATGCTAAGAGATTTTGCCACATCTCTCTCAACCAATTCTTGATGCAATATTTCACCAAGAAGTTGATTGGGAGTCTTTGTCTTGAAGCTTGGATCTCTTCTAATCATGGTAGCAAGAGTAGGGTTCCTTGGGGTGAATGCTCTAAGAATCTTCTTTGTGACCTTATGATCATCCCAATTCGTGCTTCCAAGAGTTCTAATGTCCGATACAAGGAGCATTAGCCTATCAAACATTTGAGTCACGGTTTCTTCTTCAAGCATGATGAAATGCTCTAGCTCTCCATGAATCAAGTCCATCTTTCCTTCTCTTACTTGATCGGTTCCCTCATGAGCTTCCTTTAGCGTGTCCCAAATTACCTTGGCACATTCAACGGACCGAACTTTGTTAAACTCTTGACCACACAAAAAGCCGAGATGACTCTTACGGCTTGAACATTGTGGAAGTAGTCTTGAGCTTGTTCGACTGTTGGTATTCCATTCTTGGGCGGAGTCACACCTACAACCACAACTTCCCAAATAGATGGGCGAAACCCATAGAGATGCATTTTCATATCATAAGCCCACTTGGGATAATCCGTCCAATCAAAATACGAGGGTTTTCCCAAGTGAACGGATTGAAATTGAGAAGAAGGATATTGAGATGATGGAGGCGGGTAGTTAGGAGGAACTTGGTGATATCCGAAGAAGGGATGCTTGTCACGCTCTTCCTTGATCCTCTTCTTCATCAACTTGGTTGCTCTCTTATCAATCTTGGTGTTGATCTTTTCTTTTCTCCTCTTCTTGGCCTCCAAGTCCTCCCCTCAAGCTCATCGCTTGAGATTGAGTCATCGCTTGAGCTTGCAATATGAACGAACGGTGGTCGACTCCTTTGGAATTGACTAAAGGGATCGACGTTGCCTCCACCAAGACTTGTGGTTGCCCCTACAACGGGAGCGGCGGCTTCTTCGACGGCGGTGAGTCCATCCCCACCATGAGACATCTTCGATCCCTTAGCGGTTAAGCCTTAATCAAGGGATAAGGCTCTGGTACCAATTGAAAGGGTCTTGCGATGCCTTGAGGGGGGTGAATAGGCTCACTTCAAAATTTTCCTAAAAAACTTCGCAGCGGTATTAGATGTGTCGGAACTTCCGACGCTGTGCCGAACCTTCCGATGGATCGGAACTTCCAACAGGATAAATTGAGCTGAACGAAATTCAAAATGCAACCTGAATCTACCAATTCTATTTGAATCAAAAGATAGTAAATGAAGTATAGAGACTACTCCAGGTGATATATAAGCAAGGAACCACACAAATATATAGATCGGCTAAATTCAAGCTTCTAGGTCACAAAGAAATCGAAGAACACAATAAGCACACGAGACAAGGATTTGTTACCAGAGTTCACTCTCACTAAGAGAGCTACATCTCCATTGAGGAGCTCACAAAGAGTTGGGTCCTCACTAACCCTTTACCTCCCTCAATCAACCACAAAGGAGGATTGAGTCACTTACTATGAATCCATGAAGGATGGGTAATACAAATGTTCCTGGGCGCACCACACGAAGAGGGCACTCAAACGAACGACGCCTAGCCGTCTAGAAACAAGCTTCAAGAGTAACAAATGCGAATTGAAGCTGAGGATGCTTGAAGTGCTCTTGAGATGAACTTGTTGAACTTCTCACTCAAAACCTCAAGTCACTCACCCTCAATCTTTCTCTCACCCAAACCCTAGCTCAAGAACTCAAGGATTTAGCTCAAAGGGGTGAGGGGAGGCAGTATTCAATGCTCTAGATGGGTTTTGTCTCGAGTTAGCTCAGCAGCAATGAATGGGGGGCTGAGGGGGTATTTATACCCGAGCCCCAAAAACTAGCCGTTACAGTCCCGTTATGTGCTTATCGGAACTTCCGACACAGGGTCAAAACTTCCGATGGAGTTAGAACAAGTGTGTAGAGGACCCCTGTCGAGAGTTTCAAGAAACACCCGACACACACTTATCGGAACTTCCGATAGTGTATCGAAACTTCCGATACTGTCAGGTTATACGTGTAGGGACCCCTGACCGGGACTTATCGGATACTTCCGATACGTATCGGAACTTCGACACTCCTTCGGAACTTCCGATAGGTATAGAAAAACTGAGGTAAAGGATGTGCAAGTGTGTGATTTGTGCCTCTCAATGGGTGGTTAGCATCTCAATTGTGCACCTTAAGCATCTTCAAGCTATCCATCCGCATCCCCCTATATAGTATAGTACGGTGTTTATATACTCAAATTCAAAAATACAAATTTTAAATGAGTCTTCTTTGAGCTAAACACGTTCCATCTTTGAACTTAGGGGTTCTTGCTATTCCTTTTTTACACCTTTGCACTTTCTTAAGAATTAGAACCTGTTAATCACTAGATAAAATAATTAGTCCCCTAACCATGCATGTCATCAACACCAAAACCCACTTAGGGGGCCAAACGCACTTTCACATGCTGATTGCTACTTCCTAACCAAGCGTGACGAGATTCAGCTGGTGTCAGATCGACCGGCGCTAGCTTATCCATGGCCAAGGCAGCACCTCCATACCTCGGATCGATGAGGCTGCACCGGCCTCCACCTCGGCGCTGAGCATCTCGAACGCCCGCGCCACGGCCGCCGCGT